AGGGAAAGGATGAGATCCATGATATTCCAGACATGACCTGAAAGAGCAGGATCATGATTCAATTCCACACAATTTCACTCCAGATGATTCAGTTCTACCTGGTTCAACTTGTCTTCTGGGTGATCATCTGCCAAAAAACCCCACAACCCACCAACCCAACTGGTTTCAGCTCTTCCCGGAAGAGCCAGAAAAGAACATTTGGCCCCAAAAATCACGGAGGTGGCAACAGGGCAGAGAATTTTCCCTCTCAAGAAACATTTTCCCTTTTATTTTTCCTGTGGAAATTGGTTCCATTTTGTCTTGCAAGAAGATGATCAGAAGAACCAAAAAATGCTCCAGGGATCCAAGGCTCAACAACCTCCCAAATTTGTGCCTTAAGAAGCAAAAAAGCTCTGAACCGTGGAATTTTTCGGCTTGTTTTCAGCACTTTTTTTGGGATAATCAGCCTCATTTCAAGGTTTTTTTGTACAAATCAAGGGGGTAGGGACTGAATTTCCCTCTGATGGGACCTGATTGAGTCATAATATCCCATGGGATACATTTAAATATAAAACTTAAACCTGTTTTCTCTGCCTTTTAACGTTGAGTTTCCTCCGGGTTTCTCTTCGTAGTTGACTCCTCCATTTTTTCCCCTCTGTCCAGACTCAGGGAACTATTTTAACTGCTCCATCAAAACCAAACCCTGGTTGGATTTGAGGAAAAAAAATCTTCTGAATTTCTAAATACTCATTTTTTATTCATTGTTTTTCTCTTTTTTTTGTTTTCCCACTCACAGTTGAGGGAAAGTGTCTGTGAGAGCAAAGTCAGCGCAGAGAAGCCGGTGCAAGCAGAGCTGACAGGTAAGAGTGCTAATTAAAATCATTAAAAGAATTAAAGTCACTGAGTGGTGGGGTGGGCAGGGAGCTCTGGAGATCATCCATCCAACCCCCCTGGAGAGCAGGGTCACCTCCAGCAGATCCCACAGGAACCAGCTGGGCTGGGAATGTCTCCAGAGCAGGAGACTCCACAGCCTCTCTGGGCAGCCTGGCCCAGGGCTCTGCCACCCTCCCAGGAAACAACTTCCTCCTCCTGGGGAGCTGCAACTTCCCATGTTCCAGCTGGTGCCCATGGCCCCTTGTCCTGGCCCTGGGCACTGCTGAGAAGAGCCTGGTCCCCCCCTCCTGCCCCCCTGGAGATCTGGAGCAGCCTTGAGGAGACCCCCCCTCAGGCTCCTCCTCTCCAGCTCCACAGCCCCAGCTCCCTCAGCCTTTCCTCATGGGCCAGATGCTCCAGTCCCCTCAGCCCCTTGGTGGCCTTTGCTGTCCCCTCTCCAGCAGCTCCTTGTCCTCCTGGGGAGCCCAGCCCTGGACCCACTTCTCCAGATGGGCCCTCACCAGAGGGGCAGGAGAACCTCCCTGCCCTCCTGCCCACACTCTCCTTGGTGCCCCCCAGGGGCCTTCTTGGCCACCAGGGCCCGTTGCTGCCTCAGGGTCACCCTGTTGTCCCCCAGGACCCCCAGGTCCTTGTCCCCAGAGCTGCTCTCCAGCAGGTCCCCCTACCCTGTGCTGTTCCCTGGGGTTGTTCCTCCTTGGGTGCAGCCCTTGGTGAACCTCATGAGGTTCCTCCCCACCCAAATATCCATCCAATCCAAAAGATGACATGATGACACTTAGTCCATCACCTGGCAATGGTCCTGGTCACCTTCTAAGGAGACAAATCCCAGATTCTCCTGGTTTCAAGCCCAGATCAACCCAGTGAAACTTAAGACTAGTCTGAAGGACTTTGTTACCTGCTGGGAAGGTTCTCAGCAGCTTTGAGCTCCTTCCTTGCAACGTAGAATGGGTTTTTCTTCATCAAAAGCCCCTATGAAACAAAAATCAGAATTAAAAAAACCCGATTTGAGCTGTTTCCTCACAGATTTCAGCTTGAAATGTGTTTAATTTGTGATGAATCAGGTTGAGGTTCTATCAAGGGACCTGAATTCTTCCTGCAACTCTGCTGAGGGACATGGGTTAAGCACTGGGCTTGGTAGAGTTGGGTTAAGGGTGGTAGAGTTGGGTTAAGGGTAGGTGGAGTTGGGTTATGGGTTGGTAGAGTTGGGTTATGGGTAGGTAAAGTTGGGTTATAGGTTGGTAGAGTTGAGTTAAGGGTGGTAGAGTTGGGTTAAGGGTAGGTAGAGTTGGGTTATGGGAAGGTAGAGTTGAGTTATGGGTGATAGAGTTGGATGATGGTTGGACTTGATGAACTTCATAGAGTCCTCTCAAACCAGGATTCTGTGTAACTCCCCAGTAACCCATGATTAGGTCCTTCCCTTCTGGATTTCACCACAGATTAAATCCAAAGATGGAATTAAAAGCAGAGGATGTTGAAACCCACATGTCTGAGACACTTGTGTGGGTCCAGGGGTGGGATCATCAAGACATAATTTACCAAAAAAACCTTTTTGGGGGGGCTGTTCCTTGAGTATCTCACAGCAGCAACCCTGGAGCCTCCTGGTTTCTTCTCTGGGTGGAGTTTCTGCTGCTCTGACCTTGGGTTTGTCCCGTTGCAGTTCAGGAGGTGGATGAGATGCTGATCAAGTGTGAAGGTGGCATCGAGGCAGCCCTGGAATATGCCAAGATGTGGTGTAAATATGTCAAGGAGCTTCTCAGCTGGATGGAGAAACGTCTGAGCTATGGTGAGTCCAGCACTGACCCCCATGGAGCTCCAGAGCTTTGATTTATGAAAACTAATCATAAAGTCACAGAGTGGTTCAAGTTGGTGCATGTGGAGGTCACCTGGTCCAATCATTGACTCCAAGCCCTTGCATTGAGCACGACTTGGAGTCAAGGAGTTGTCAGGGTGGGAAGGGACCCCTGGAGATCACCCATCCAACCCCTCTGGAGAGCAGGGTCACCTCCAGCAGATCCCACAGGAACCAGCTGGGCTGGGAATGTCTCCAGAGCAGGAGACTCCACAGCCTCTCTGGGCAGCCTGGCCCAGGGCTCTGCCACCCTCCCAGGAAACAACTTCCTCCTCCTGGGGAGCTGCAACTTCCCATGTTCCAGCTGCTGCCCATGGCCCCTTGTCCTGGCCCTGGGCACTGCTGAGAAGAGCCTGGTCCCCCCCTCCTGCCCCCCTGGAGATCTGGAGCAGCCTTGAGGAGACCCCCCCTCAGGCTCCTCCTCTCCAGCTCCACAGCCCCAGCTCCCTCACCCTTTCCTCATGGGCCAGATGCTCCAGTTCCCTCAGCCCCTTGGTGGCCTTTGCTGTCCCCTCTCCAGCAGCTCCTTGTCCTTCTGGGGAGCCCAGCTCTGGACCCACTTCTCCAGATGGGCCCTCACCAGAGGGGCAGGAGAACCTCCCTGCCCTCCTGCCCACACTGTCCTTGGTGCCCCCCAGGAGCCCATGGGCCCTCTTGGCCACCAGGGCCTGTTTGCACCTCATGGTCACCCTGTTGTCCCCCAGGATCCCAAGGTCCTTGTCCCCAGAGCTGCTCTCCAGCAGGTCCCCCTACCCTGTGCTGCTCCCTGGGGTTGTTCTTCCTTGAGTGCAGCCCCTACACTTGCCCTTGGTGAACCTCAGGAGGTCCCTCCCCACCCAAATCTCCAGCCTGTCCAGGACCCTCTGGTTGACAGCCCAGCTCTCTGGCCAACATCCATTTGCAATTAGAAACATACTGGGGAGAAACTGGGCAAACATCCATTTCTTGGCTGAAGATAAAGACAGGGAGTTGGAATTTCTTCTCCCTTGGATGATCTTCAGTGGATGGAATTACCCTAATTAGAAGGAATGACCCTAATTGGAAGGAATGACCCTAATGAACTGGCTGAAAGGACCTTCATCTTTGGCCAACCCACCTCGGTGAGTGTGGATCTGGTGTCTCATCCCCTCTGTCCTTTTCCAGAGACAGAGTTTGCCAAAGGGATGGTGAAGATCGCGGAGTCGGGTCGCAACAACATCTGCCACCAGGTATGGGGCCTTCCTGAAGCTCCCAGCACTGGAACAACTCTTTGTTCCATGGAATTATGGAATGGGTTGAGTTGGAGGGATCTTCAAGCTCATCTAGATCCAACCCCACCATGGGCAGGGACACCTCCCAGCAGCCCAGGTTGCTCCAAGCCCCATCCAACCTGCCCTTGGACACTTCCAGGGATGGGGCAGCCACAGCTTCCCTGGCCCAGGCTCTCCCCACCCTCCCAGACAAGAATTTCATCCTCGGGTCCAACCTCCAGCTCCCTCTGCCAGTTTCAAGCCATCCCCCCTGGTCCCATCACTCTTGCCCTTGGCCCAAGTCCCTCCCCAGCTTTCCTGGAGCCCCTTCAGGTACTGGAAGCTGCTCCAGGGTCTCCCTGGAGCCTTCTCCTCTCCAGGCTGAACAACCCAACTCTCCTAACCTGTCTCCAGAGGTTTTCCAGCCTTGGATCATCTCTGTGGCCTCCTCTGGTTTCCTTCCATCAGCTCCATGTCCTTCTTGGCTTGGGGCCTCCAGAACTGGTCCCAGTTTACCTTCTATTGGCTTCCAACAGAGAGAGATTTTTCTGATAATTAGAAGGATGGACAAGGCCAAGAGTTGGCCAACACTGCCCAGCAGGAAGGTCTTCTTCCACCATCCTGCTGTGTCCTCTGGAATAACCCCCCAGCATGGACATTCTGATCTTTTTTTGCAAGAGACCTTGGCCAGATCTACCAAAAACCTCTTGGATTCAGGAATGTTTACATCTGGTTTCTGCAGCACAAGATGCCCCTGAGGAGCCTCTACACGATGGTCCTGGAACAGGACATCAAAGTTGGGAATTCTGCCACTGAGACTGTAGGGTTGCTCCAGCAGAAGGAATTCTACCAGGTAATGGTCTTCCAAGATCTCAGGGAACATCACAGCAACTTGGTGAAGGGACTTCTCATGGTCCATGGAAGGGATGAGAGAAGAAAGGGGATTAAACCAAATTTGAGGGGAAAAAAGGGGCATCTGGGAGGGTTCCTGCCCCCTGACAGGGATTCTTCCTGCTTCAGGAGGAACTTTCCTGTCCTAACTCTTCTTCCTCTGCAGCCTCTGTCAGCCAAGAAGAATGAAATTGAGAAGTGGAGGAAAGAATTCAAGGATCAGTGGACAAGGGAGCAAAAGAGAATGGTGAGAAGTCAACGGATGGGTTGGATCTTTCTCCTCAAAACCATGAATATTGATGTTAAGGAGCAAGAGGTCATTAAAAAAAGGTGATATTCATCCTGCTCTGGAATCCAAGTAACTTCTTCAGGTCTTCTGAGGAACTTCTAGGCCATCCTGTCCCTGTTCCCCACCAGGTCCCATCACTCCTGCCAACGGTAGAGGTTGCAGTGAGGGAGCACTTGACCTTCAGCTGGAGCTGGAGATCCTCCTTGTTTCCAAACTGGCTGGGGAGGAAACCCAAGGGATGTCTTGGAGCTCCTGAACTTGGGGAGGAGAGGGAGGGAGAAGGGTGATGTCCATCTGGATGAAAACACTCATTTGAACCAAGAGACAAGAGCTTTCCTTGTAGGAATCATGGAACCATGGAATGGTTTGAGTGGGAATGGACCTCAAAAATCATCTAGATCCAACCCCCACCATGGGCAGGGACACCTCCCACCAGCCCAGGTTGCTCCAAGCCCCATCCAACCTGCCCTTGGACACTGCCAGGGATGGGGCAGCCACAGCTTCCCTGGCCCAGGCTCTCCCCACCCTCCCAGACAAGAATTTCCTCCTCAGGTCCAACCTGCAGCTCCCTCTGCCAGTTTCAAGCCACCCCCCCTGGTCCCATCACTCCTGCCCTTGGCCCAAGTCCCTCCCCAACTTTCCTGGAGCCCCTTCAGGCCCTGGAAGATTATGGGGCTGGAGAGGTCCTGGGGGGGCAGTTATCCCAGAATCCCAGACTGGTTTGTGTTGGGAGAGACCTCCAAGCTCATCCAGTCCCACCATGGGCAGGGACACCTCCCAGCAGCCCAGGTTGCTCCAAGCCCCATCCAACCTGCCCTTGGACATTTCCAAGGTTGGGAAGATCTGATGCAGATGAGAAGACGGTCTTGATCACCCAAGGATGGGGCAGAACTTCCCCTGTTAGCTCTGGGTTGGTTGGTGGTGTGTTTTTGGCCAAAGTCCCTCCTCAGCTTTCCTAGAGGCCATACAAGCTGGGACATGTTCCTCCACGACCTCTCCAGCTTCCTGAACCTCTTCCTTGACCTATTCCAGAACGAGTCCTTGTCCTCCCTGCGCAAGTCCCGCCTGCAGTACGTCCAGCGCTGCGAGGAGCTGGAGAAGGCCAAGCAGTTGAGTGCCAAGGCAGAGGATGAGCTCCAGAACGTGGCCACCACCAACCCCAGCAGTGCCAACAAGCAGCTGGAGAAGCGACGTCGTTCCTGCGAGGAGGCACAAGCCAAGGTGAGGAGCTCAGGCTGACGGTGCCCTCAGCCATCCCACGTGGCTGTGACATGGTGTCTTCTCACCCATCCCAGGGACTTTCTCCTCCTTGGCTCCATTGCTTGAGTAAATAAGGTTGGGAAGGGGGTGGAGGACAAGGAGAAGGGGCTGGAGGACAAGGAGAAGGGGCTGGAGAACAAGGGGAAAGGGCTGGGGGACAAGAAGAAGGGGCTGGAGGACAAGGGGAAAGGGCTGGAGAACTTGTGAGGAGCAGCTGAGGGAGCTGGGGGTGTCCAGCCTGGAGAAGAGGAGGCTGAGGGGAGACCTTCTGGCTCTGCAACTGCCTGGAAGGAGGTTGGAGCCAGGGGGGTCGGGCTCTGCTCCCCAGGAACAAGGGATGGGACCAGAGGAACCGGCCTCAAGTTGCCCAGGGGAGGTTGAGGTGGGATCTTGGGAACAATTCCTGCCTGGCAAGGGTTGTCAGGGCCTGGCCCAGGCTGCCCAGGGCAGGGGGGAGTCCCCATCCCTGGAGGGGTTTCCAAGCCCTGGAGATGGTGCTGAGGGACATGGGGCAGTGGGGCACTGGGGCTTATGGTTGGACTGGGTGATCTTCAAGGTTTTCCCCAAGCAAAACAATTCCATAATGCCATGATTCTACATGTCAGGTTTCTCCTGATTGTCTCCCCCATCTCTCCACGGTGGGCGTTGTTGTTTTGTTGGTTGATTTGGTTTTGTTGCAATTGTTGGACTTGGGTGTTCTTGGAGGTCTCCTCCAACCATGACAATTCCGTGATGGTCCTGTGGTTCTCCTGCTGGTGGGACACAGGTCCAGGAGACAGAAGCTCTGTACAAAACGTGCATCAACGATGCCAATTTCCGGCGCCAGGAGCTGGAGAAGGTTCGAGCTCGGATCGTCTCCCACGTGCGGAAGCTCATCTACCAGGGGGATGAAGTGCTGACCTGGGTAGGTGAACTCCTGGAACTTCTTCTCCAATCCTTGCTTGAAGGGAACTGCTCTTTGGGGTAAGACCTCCAGGGTCTTCACCACTTGACCGTGAGGGTGGCAGAGCCCTGGGCCAGGCTGCGCAGAGGGGCTGGGGAGTCTCCTGCTCTGGAGACATTCCCAGCCCAGCTGGTTCCTGTGGGATCTGCTGGAGGTGACCAAGCTCTCCAGGGGTTGGACTGGGTGATCATCAGAGCTTCCTTCCAAACCAAACCTGTTTGGGATTCCATGATCCTTTGAGGAGCAGTGAGTGTTAGTGGGGACAGTTCTGGTGCCCCCAACACAAGAAGGACACGGAGCTGTTGGAGGGAGAGCAGAGGAGACCATGGAGATGATCCAAGGCTGGAAAACCTCTGGAGACAGGCTGAGGAGATTGGGAATGTTCAGCCTGGAGAGGAGAAGGGTCCAGGGAGACCTTGGAGCAGCTTCCAGTGCCTGAAGAGGCTCCAGGAAAGTTGGGGAGGGACTTGGGCCAAGGGCAGGAGTGATGGGACCAGGGGGGATGGCTTGAAACTGGCAGAGGGAGCTGGAGGTTGGAC